GAGGGAGGAGGGGACTGGCCAGCTGTAGTTTTTGGGTTTTTGGAGGGGAGGGAATTGAGGAAGCTTGATACAAGAGAGAACTCCTTGAATGCAGCCTCTGCCCCCAGTTGCCCGCCATGGAGACCTCTTCCTGGACCCACTGAAATCACTGCCCCACATAGAGCTACCAACTACGGTCCTGGAGCCAGGTGATATTCATGGAATGCCAGGAAGGCTGGGCAAGCTAATCAGGCTAGCCAGAGTCTGGCAGGGCAGATTTGAGAAAAGGCTCTGGGCCTATCCAAAAGAGTGGTCTCAAAATCCTAGCTACTCAGGAGGCTGAGATCTGAGGATCCTGGATCGAAGCCAGCCTGGGGAAGAAAAGTCAGTGAGCCTCTTATCGCAAATGAACCATCTGAAAACCGGAAGTGGAGCTGTGGCTCAAAGTGGTGGAGTGCTAGCCTTGAGAAGGAAAAAAAAAAAAAAAAAAGCTCCCAGGCCCTGAGTTCAAACCCCATGACTGACCAAAAAAAAAAAATTATGAATTATTCCACGTAGACACAGAAGGGACTCGAGTCAAAGCATTCCTATTTGCTTTGAGCTGCAGCTCAGCCCGAGGGGAGCTTGGTTATGAGCTCCACACAGGACCCTTCTGGGAAGGCAGGGTGAGGGGAGGCAGAGACTGCAGAATTATATAAAAGGTTTGGATGGGCTGGGAAGGTGGCTCAGTGGTAGAGCGCTTGCCTTGCATGCCTGAGGCCCTGGGTTCAATTCCTCAGCACCACATAAGTAGAAAAAGGTAGGCCTCCTCAGAACACTTCTTGGCAGAAAGGGTCTGCACCCAAGTGGGCTGCAAAGGTGCAAAAATGATCAACTAACGAACAGAGCTATAGGTCAAAACCACAGTGAGGGACCCTCTCACATCTGATTAGGCTGCGATCAAAAACCCCATAAAGTGTTGGGCACTGGGGGCTCATGCCTGTAATCTGAGACTCGTCTCCAACTAACTACTAAAAAAGCCAGAATTAGAGCTGTGGCTCAAATAGCAGTGCACTAGCCTTGAATGAAAAAGCTCAGGGACAGCAGCCTGAGTTCAAGCCCCAGGACCAGCGCACCCCTCCTCCACACACCCCATAAAGTAATGTGTTGATGAGGATATGGAGACATGGAGCCCTTGTGCACTGTTGCTGAGGCTATAAAATGTTGCAACCACTATGGAACACTGTATGGAGGCTGTCCATTGAAAAACTACCAAACCATCCAGCAATCCTACCTGGGGGAATCTATCTGAATAAAGAACAGAAAGCAAGGCCTCCTGTGGTATTAATGTGCTCGTATTTGCTCATAACAGCATGATTCACAAGAACAAAGAGGCAGAAGAAACCCACGCCCACGTACGGATGAGGTTTGTCCATTAGAATCACTTTGGAATGGGATGTTATTCATATACGATGGAATATAGCCCTAAAAAGGAAATCTTGCCACACAGTACTACATGCATGAGCACTGAGGACATTATATGCAAGGCATAGAAGACAATGACTCTATTTATTATCCCAATTTAAAAATGTCTGTAGGGTGTTCACATTCGGAGACAAAAAGCAAGCTGGGCACTGATGGCTCCATGCCTGTAATCCTAGCTACTCAGGAGACTACAATCTGAAGACCATGGTTCAAAGACAGCCTAGACAGAGAAGACTGTGAGACCTTTATCTCCAATTAACCAGCAAAAGACTAGAAGTGGAGGTGTGACTCAAGTGGTACAGCACCAGTCTTCAGTAAAAAAGCCAAGCAAAAGAGGCCCTGAATTCAAGTTCCAGTACACACACACACACACACACACACACACACACACACACACAGTACTATGTAGAATGTTCGTTGCCAGCAACATGGCATTTTAGTTCTAAAAGATGCAAAAGTTCTGCAGATCTACTACAGAATACTGGATTAGGTTAATGCTACTCAGCTGACAATGGTAAATTTTTCGTTTTGTAAACCACAATAAAGAAAAAAGCCAGGTGCTTGTGGCTCATACCTGTAATCCTAGCTGCTCAGAAGGCTGAGCTTTGAGGATTGTGGTTCAAAGCCAGCCCAGGTAACAAAGTCTGTGAGACTCGTCTCCAATAAACCACCAGAAAACCAGAAGTGGTGCTGTGGCTCAAGTAGTAGAGCGCTAGCCTTGAGCTGAAGAGCTGAGGGACAGGGCTCAGGCCCAGAGTTCAAGCCCTGTGACCAACCAAATAAAAAAACAAAGAGGGGGGGGGGACAGAGGGAGAGGAGGGGCTGGGGATGTGGCTTAGTGGTAGAGTGCTTGCCTAGCATGTATGAAGCCTTGGGTTTGATTCCTCAGTACCACATCAACACAAAAAGCCAGAAGTGGTGCTGTGACTCAAGTGGTAGAGTGTTAGCCTTGAGCAAAAGTGGCTCAGGGACAGTGTCCAGGCTCTGATTTCAAGCCCCAAGACTGGGGGGGGGGAGGAAAGAAAAGGAAAGGAAGGGAAGGGAAGGAGGGAGGAAGGGAGGGAGGGAGGGAAGGAAGGAAGGAAGGAAGGAAAGGGAAGGGAAAGGAAGAGAAAGAGAAAAAAGAAAGAAGAAAAGAAAGAAAGGAATGGGTTGGGAAGGTGGCTCAGTGGTAGAGCGCTTGCCTTGCATGCATGAGGCCCTGGGTTCAATTCCTCAGCACCACATAAGCAGAAAGAGCCTGAAGTGGTGCTGTGGCTCAAGTGGTAGAGAGCCTTAAACTGAAGAGCTGAGGGGCAATGCCCAGGCCCAGAGTTCAGGCCCCATGACCAACAAAAAAGAAAGAAAAGAAGAGGCGCCCCAGAGGCCATTTAACCCAATTTTCCCAACTGATAAATCAAAAGGCTGAGAGAAGTGGCTTTTCTGGGATCCGGGCAAGGATGAATGCTCAGGATGTTGCACAAGGCTCTGGGCTTGCACAGAGGCCAGCTGAGGGCTGCCTCAAGACGTTGCTAAGGAGGATTCAAATGGTTCCTATGTGTCAGGCCCATTGAGAGAGACCTGCATTATCGAGAACATTCCCTTAAAAACAACTGTGCAGCTGATGTCAGCCAGCCCTTCCCAGCCACCTCCAAGAGCCACTGAGAACAGCTGGACTGGGGTAGAACGTGGGAAGCAGAGAGACTCAAATTCCAGCTCCACTATTATGGACTGATCCCATTTCTGAACTTTTTTTTTCCAAGCCAGGCATCAGTAGATGGCTCACATCTGTAATCCCAGCTACACAGGTGGCTGAGATCTGATGACATTCTCAGACAGACTGGGTAGAAAAAGTATCTCCAAGTAACTAGCAAAAAGCCAGCAGTGGAGGTATGGCTCAAGTAGCAGAGTGCCAGCTTCAATGGAAAAAGCTAAAGGACAGTATCCAGGCCCTGAATTCACGCCCCAGGACTGGAACGTACACATACAACTCACAGTGCCGAGGATGGAACCCGGGACCTGGTGCATGCTGGGAAGTACTCTACCTTTGAGCTACAGTTCTAGCCATCTGTATCTCTTAGAGAATTAAAGCCAAACTACAGGCATTTCATAAAAGCCCTATAGGACCATAACACTCATTCTTATCTGTTGGCCACCATGGCTGCTTCCTGACCTTTCAGTACCTCAGTCTACCAACCTCAGAGAAAGTTGTTCTAATATTGAAATGCGTTGTTAGAAGGGCTTGGAGCCAGCCATGCCCAGCCCATAATCAGTTGCTGTTAGCAGTTGTTGTAAAGCAACAACGTGTGGGTCCCTGCTCACAATGGCGTCACGGGGGCCTGACAGGGCCCTAGTCTGGGGTGTGGGGCTCCGGAGTGTTTGCTCCTGCCTTCATGGTCTTGGCTGGATCGGAGGCTCCAGAGCTCTGGTATTTTTGTTTTGCCCCCAACTGACCCATAGTTGACACGGTGCCCGACAGAAAGAAGTGTTGCTGTGCAGAAGGTGCCCTGTTCCCCACATGGCACATGTGCTTTTCCCAATGCTCCCCCCCCCCACCTTTCTGCGTGATAGTCCTAGGGCTTGAATTCAGCGCCTAGGCACCGTCCCTTAGACTTCTCTGCTCAAGGCTAGTGCTCTTCCACTCAAGCCACTGCTCCACCTGTTTTTTTTTTTAATTGGAGGTAAAGGTCTCATGGACTTTCCTGCCCAGGCTGGCTTTGAACTGCAGTCCTCAGATCTCTGCCTCCTGAATAGCCAGGATTATAGGCGTGAACCACCAGCACCCGGCCCTTTCCTTTACCTGGCACCCTGGAATTTGTTTAGCACAGAGAAGTCCACTGTATGGAATGGATTCGGGTGACAGGAGGATTCGGGTTGACAGGAGGCCAGGCCTGGGAGGGACTGAACCTACAAGGAGCAACGATGGCATGTAGGAACAAAGGGGTGAGGAAGGGCCAGGTAAAGAGGAGGCAGAGCCCAGAGTACTTGCACAGCCGGGCTGCCCTGCCAACCCTCTTATTCTGGGCCTCAAGTGTCACCAGCCCCAGCACCCACTGCTTCAACCCACAGCTGCTATGCCCTGCGCCCAGGAAGGCATAAAGTTCTCCAGGTGTTTGTAAGGGCCAAAACACCATGACACCTCCTCTGTCCCACTGTGGGTCCTTGGAGAAGCTAGCCACCCCCCCACACCCTCTTTCATCTGTGTCTGCTGTCCCTTGCAAAGAACCCACCCAAGACCCGGGGGGGGGGCAGGAAGGATCCTAAACTTCCATGCTCATGTCAGTCTCCCCCTTCCTCTGTATTGGCAAACCAAACCAATCGATCCTGCACTGCCCACAGGCAGCCTGGATGCTTCAACTCTGGACCCCAAGGCTGCTGCTATCATAGACTGGAGGTCATCATTCAGGGGTGGAGGGACCCCGAGGTAAGGATCGGGAGAGGGAGGCTACCCCCCACCCCTGCAACACCAAGGAGAACTCCAGAAGTCTTCAGTAACAGCAGGAAAAGTGACCAGCAGGATTTGGGGTTAATCCCAAGCACGAGGGCGGGCAGGGAAAGGATTTGGTTTCATTCCTTCAGATGCCCAAGCCTTGACCAGAGCTCCAGGGCGCAGGAGTGAAGGCAGGCCACCCCTGTCCAGCCCCTACCAACAAAGCCTTCCTTTATTAAATAGAGATTGTGTTACATTCCGTCCAAAGGAGGAAATCGGGACATGGTGAGGGACATGTCCAGGTTAGCGCCCCTAACCCTGGTCTATTCTGAGTGGGCCGTGACAGGTGGGCTTGGGCCCAGGTCCTGCCCACCTCTCCTGGTCCCACGTACAGGGACCCTCCCTCCCCCCTCCTCCCACTGTGGCTGCGAATATGTCCTGAGGCCCCCCTGTATCACACTCTGGAAGGAAAAGGGCTCCAGTCCACCAGCTGTTTCGGGAGCAGGAGCTCCTGGGCCCAGGAATGAGATGGAAAGGTCAGGGGGGACAGGGAAGCCTGAATGCACAGGGAAGATGGAGGGGCCTGGACCAGCACTTGTGCAGGTTGGAGGAGACAGCTATTAGGAAGCCCTGCTTGCACACAGGCCCTCAGAATAACAAGAGCCACTGGGGACAGTCCCAACACCCAAGCCCACCAGGGAGCAGGTTGAAGGATGGCCACAAGGGGGCGCTGGTAGACCAGGGCCTAGGGACCCTGATATCACCATCAGTCCCTTTGTGGAGCTGTGGCAGTAACAGTAGCAGCTCCTGGGATGGGGGTGGGGAGCAGCTGTCTCCAGGTGTCTTCTCCCAAGGGCCAACCCCCCCTTAAATATGGCTCAGGGCTCCTTGGTCTTTGGTGCTTTCTGGAAATTCTCCTGGTGGTTTAGTCAGTGGAGAAGATAAAGGGTCATCTCATGCTGTCCAGGCCAGTTTGTCCCTCTGTCTGTCCTGGGAAGGACATTTGGTCCTGGCTCAGTGGTGCCTTCATAGCTTGGCTGTTTGTCCTTTTCAGCTTCTGGCTCAGGGCTGTTTTCAGGACCCTGTCATCCTGTTTGTCACGAGGCAGATGTCTTGCTCCAGCTCAGAGTCCCCCTCCAGGCCATGCGTGCTAGGCCTCCTGGGGGAAGAAGCCAAGCTTGGCCAGTGACATTTCCTTTCTCAGCCTCATGATCTCCCAGAACATTGGCTCGGCTGGGAAGAGAAGGGAGAGAGGGAGAAAGGGAGAGAAGGGAGAGAGGGAGGGGGGAAAAGAGAGAAAGAGGAGGGGAGGAGGGGGAGAGAGAGAGAGAGAAAAGGGAGAGGGAGCTCATGGTCACCTCGAGCAGTGACCACATTGCCACATACTCCTCAGTGATAATGGGGAGAGAGACAGCCATGGGGAAGTTTCTATAGAGCTTCCTTGGCAGGAAGTACCTCTGGACCCAGGTACCCCGGTACCCATGCCAGCTGCAGGCCTCTTCTGCCGCTCTTCTCCCCATGGGACTCGGCACCAAGGAGGATTAAAAGCTAACCCACAACCTTAACCATCTCCTGGGGGAGCCCCAGTGTGCTGCCACTGTCCAGGGCAGGTATTCCCCGAAGGCATTTGTCTGCCTTGTCCCTCCCCTGTTCTCCTGTCTCCCTGTTCTGCCTCTCTCCACCCATCCCGGCCCCTCAGCACCATTCCCGAAGCCTCCACCAGGGGGCGCTCACCATCCTGTCGCACCAGGCCTTGCTGGATGTAGCGAATGTAGGTGAAGAAGTTGCACACTGCAGTTATCTGTGGGCAGAAGGAGAGTGTGGCCTGATACCAGAGCAGGAAGCCCCAGGGACCTGAGTAGGAGTCCCTGGGAGTAGAAGTCCACTAATGTCCACCCATGGTCTAGAGGCTAGTGAGACACCATTCTGGTAGCCACCAGGAAGGACCCATCTGCAGAGATGCCAAGCAGATGGGGTTGGACTTCTTATGGTACATGGGGACCCTACTGGAGCCTGTCCCCAGGTCAAGGCCCCATCCAGATGCTGAGAAGGTAGGCTGGTGTTAGCTGACCTTCTTCTGCACCCCACCCTGCAGACCTCAGCCAATGACAGTCGACTGACTCAGAGGGAACTCAAAGCCACCAACTTGCCTGGTGGCACCGGCTCTGCCCCAGTCCCTAGGGATCTGACAAGGTGGCACAACTTGGCTCCTTTCCTTGTGCCCATTTGGCTTCTTCTGCTCTCTCAAGAGTTATGGGAGGAGCTGGGAATGTGGCTTAGTAGAGTGCTTGCCTGGCATGCATAAAGCCCTGGGTTCAATTTGTACAAAAAAGGCTCAAGTGGTAGAGTTGCTAGCTTAAGCAGAAAATAAGATCAGTGACAGTGCCCAGGCCCTGAGTTGAGTTTAAGCTCCAGGACTGGCAAAAAAAGTTACAGGAAACTCAGTGAGACCAAAGAAGAATACTTAGGAGAGGAATACAAAGGCACAATGCTTATGTGATTCTGATGGTATAAAATAATATTTATAGGAATGAACTCCAGGTAATGGAAATGAGAGGCTTTTTTACTTTGTTGCCATTTTTGTTTTCTCTTTGTCTTGTTTGTTCATTTATCTGTCTTTGGGAGGGTAAGGGGGAGCACAGAAATGGAGGGACAAAGGGTGAACAAATGCAGCAGTGGTACTCACCGTGCACTATGTTGAAAATGAGCTATACAACTTGTGGGTGGGGATGGAAGGGAAAAACAGAGCAAGTAAGGGAAGGGGAGACATTGGCCAAAAAGGAATATAATCTTTTTTGTGGGGTGGTCAGTCCTGGGGCTTGAACTCAGGGCCTGGACACTGTTCCTGAACTTCTCAAGGCTAACACTGTACCATTTGAGCCACTTCGTGCTTTTTCTGTTTATATGTGGTACTGAGGAATTGAACCAGGGCTTCTTCATTCATGCTAGACAAGTACTCTACCACTAAGCCACATTCCAGCCCAGGAATATACTCTTTACTTGACTTATATAATTGTAATCTCTCTGTATTATCATCTTTACAATAAAAATTTTTTAATGAAAAAAACACACAGGAGGGGGTAACAATGCTCAATAGGAAGTGTACTCATTACCTTGCTCATGTAACTGTAACCCTCTGTATCGTATCTTTACAATAAAAAATTTAAAAAACACACACACATATATTCAACCAACTTAAAAAAATCTCCTACTAGCCAGGTGCTGGTAGCTCACACCTGTAATCCTAGCTACTCAGGAGGCTGAGATCTGAGGATCACAGTTCAAAGCCAGCCCAGGCAGGAAAGTCCATGAGATTCTTATCGCCAATTAACCACCAGAAAACCGGAAGTGGCGCTGTGGATCAAGTGGTAGAGTGCTCACTTGAGCTGAAGAGCTGAGGGATAGCACCCAGGCCAAGTTCAAGCTCCACGACCGACCCCACCCCCCAAAAAATCTCCTACTATATGTCAGAGATTATGCTAGCTAAAATTCTAAATAAGGAGCGCTTACAGTTCATGACTACAATAAAATGTTTCTGGTCCTATAATAGAAAAATAGCAAAAAGAAAACGAGTCACAAGGAAGTCTATCACTCCAGGCTGGCTCTCGGGAATCCAGCCGAGGTAGTGGGAGGTAGCTGGCAGCTGGGCCCACAAGAGCACCCACAGGACACCTAGGAGGAGCCACTATATGTAAGGCACCCACAGGCTAGAGATGCAAGGCTCGGTTGTGTGAGACTGAGCCCAGTACCACATGGGAAGGGGAGGAGGGGAGGCTGCGGTGGGGTGGGGTCACTTCCAGCTCTAGGTAAGTAGTGGACACCCATGAGAGATGCAAGGGCAGAGAGTGGGGTAAAGTGGTCGCTGAGATCTGAGGACTGTAGTTCAAAGCCAGCCCAGGCAGGAAAGTCTGTGAGACTCTTATCTCAAAAAAAAAAAAAAAAAAAACACAAAAAATACCAGAAAACCAGAAGTGGCGCTGTGGCTCAAGTGGTAGAGTGCTAGCCTTGAGCTGAAGAGCTGAGGGACAGTGCCCAGGCCCAGAGTTCAGGCCCTATGACCAACCAAAAAAAAAGGAGGAGGAGAAGGAGGAGGAGGAGGAGGAAGAGGAGGAGGGGGAGGGGAAAGGAAGGGGAGGAGGGAGAAGAAGAGGGGGGGGGAGGGAGAGGAGGAAGAAGAGGAAGAGGAAAGAAAAGAAAAGGAAAGAGCCAGGTGCTGGTGGCTCATACCTATATTCCTAGCTACTCAGGAGGCTGAGATCTGAGGATTAAGGTTCAAAGCCAGCCTGGTAGGAAAAGTCCATGAGACTCATCTCCAATAAACCACTCAGAAAACCAGAAGTGGCATTATGGCTCAAGTGGTAGAGTGCTAGCCTTGAGCTGCAGAGCTAAGGGAGAGCACCCAGGCCCAGAGTTCAAGCCCTACGACCATCAACCAAAAGAAAAAAGAAAAAAAAAAGTGGGAAAAAAAAAAGTAAGAGTGAGGGGACTTGTGGCTCCCAAACAAGGGTGTGGACAGCCATCTACCGGGCAAGGGGCGCAGACATGGTGGCTAGAAGCACCCAGATTGTACCCTGGGGTATATCTCTGTCCAGAGAGATCACATGACAGGAACTGTGGGCAACCTTTAGCAGCTGAAGGGGTCGCTACCCTACAAAAACCCCATCCTGCAAGCATGTGGGACTGAATATGACCACATTAAGCCCAGCCTGAACCACATGAGCTCAGCAGGGAACCCAGCCCTGCTTGACACATGACTACAGCCATATGGAGTCACTGAGTAAAACCCCACTCCTAGCCCAGGGGACGGGTGAGAGAGCCATTGCATCTGGAACAGCAATTATGTCCAGGACGTTATGTCTGTCACACAGCAGTAGCAGACTAAGACACCTGACTTCGCTGTGGCTCACATTCGTCTCTGTCCCTCTCTGAGCCTAAATCTCACACCCTGCAGATCTAGGCGGAATCTTGAGTTGTGCTCCAGGCCTGGAGCCCCGAGTCACCCACCCTGGTGTGGCCCTAAAGTGTGACTCACCCTGGCCCGGGAGGATGGCGAGATGTAGTAGTGGCTTTCAGAGTCCCCTAGCCGGATGCGGTGGTGACAGGTGCGGGCCAGCCCGCTCAGGGCACACGTGCTGGAGGGGGCAGAGGTGGCGGCAGGAGCTGACAAACCTGCCCCCCTCTCTCCCCGGTTCACAGAGAGGAGATGGCAGCAAGAACAGGCATCCAAGGAGTGGCCAGCCTGCCTGGGCCAAACCCTGGGCCAAACCCCTTGTCTCCCCCTATTTTACTGGGAGCTTCAGACCCATGCAGGAACTGAGGTACTCAGCTGACTCTAAATCAAGCCCCTCCAGAGTACTCAGTGGCCTGCCCACCAGCCCCACTAAGGATCATTGGATATTTACTGGCAGGAAACACAGCCAACCACTGACAATTAGGGCCCAGAACTCTCATAGGACAGAGCGTGGGGGGGGGCGGAGCGTGGGGGGGCGCGGCGCGGCGGGGAGACAGCCAACACGCATGCGCTAGGCTAGTCAGAAAGAGAGACACATCTCCCAGCCTCTCTGGAAAGCCTGCAGGAAGGGGGGGGGAGGAAAGTCCATGACTGGGGTAGGGGGGACGGGCAGGCATTTCTGCCAAAAATGCTACCTGGCCCTCTCATTATGTCTCAGCATTGCCAGGCTAGCTCATATACCCCAGGGCTGAATGCCACAGAACCTGCCCACCCTCAGGCCCCACAGCAGGACTCAGGAGCCCTGAGACTCAGCCCATCCAACCCCTGGGTACAGACTCCAGGCTGGGCGTCTGTGCATGGGCAGGGAGTGGACAAGGCCCTGAGCTTACTTGCTGCTGGAGCTACCACACTCAATAGTGGCCATCTTCACTGCGGGCAGTGTCTGCGAAGCAATGGGCTCGATGGTCAGTGTATTGTCTTCCACAGCAGCCCGGACAAGGGCGGAGAGCTGTGGTGGACCAAGGAGAGAAGTGGGGTGGTGAGGACCAGGGTCTCTGGGTGTGTGTGGGGTCCCTGCCAGCCACCCCGATCCACCTCACCTCATGCATGGTGAAGTCCAGGCAGGGGCCCACATCCTCTCGGTAGACTCTTTCCAGGAAGGGGCAGGTCTTGTCGAGGGTGGGCGATGCCCTCCAGGCCTGGAACTCTGCAAATAGGGTTGTGTCCACCTAAGGGGAGGTGAGCCAAGGGTGGGGATCGTCAAGGTGGAGGGCCAGTCAAGGGGAGAGGTGGGAGTGCCCTCTGTGTGGCTGGCAGCCATGCAGACAAGGACACCAAGGCTTCCCATCTGCCTTTGCACCCAAGACATCGGAGCTGACTGTTCTCTGAGGTGTTTAAAATGTCTAGGTGCTTCAAGATCGCAGAACTGAGCCAATGGCTAATACTTGGAAACCTAGCGACTCAAGAGACTGAAATCTGAGGATTATGGGTCAAAGCCAACCCAGGAAAGAAAAGTCTCCAATTAACCACCAAAAAGCAGACATGGAGCTGTGACTCAAGTAGTAAAGCATTAGCCTTAAGCAAAAAAAGCTCAGAAACAGAGCTCAGGCCCTGAATCCAAGCCCCGGGACTGACACCAAATAATAATAATAAGCTGGGTGCCAGTGGCTCACGCCTGGAATCCTAGCTACTCAGGAGGCTGAGATCTAATAAGGATCATGGTTCAAAGCCAGCCCGGGCAGGAAAGTCCATGAGACTCTCCAATAAACTACTAGAAAACCGGAAGTGGCGCTGTGGCTCAAGCGGTAGAGCACTCGCCTTGAGCTGAAGAGCAGAGGGACAGCACCCAGGCCCAGAGTTCAAGTCCCACGACCAACAAAAATAATAATAATAAGCATTACAGAATTGGCATCATCCTAAAGACCCATGGAGCCTGTAAGAATCCAATCTGCAGGTCCCTGAGGGTCAGGACATACACACAGGTACAAGCGTGCGCACAGGGGAAACACAAGTACATGCATGCACACAGAGGGGAAAACACTGGCACACACATGCACAGAGGGGAAAATGCAGGTACACGCATGCTCCCAGAGGGGGAAACGCAGGCACACACGTGCGCACAGAGGGGAAAAATGCATGCACACGGAGGGAGCACACCAGGTTGCCCTGCTGTATACTTAGAAGAGGAGAAGCGGGCCTGCCCGGGGCTGCATGCAGGGAGTGAAGCCCAGAGGAGAACAGAAAGGCAGCCCCTGGTCTGAAGCCATTACCTGTCGGAAAAAGGAGGAAGAGGTAGCAGAAGTAGAGGCCATGACCGGCTCTCCAGGCAGGAGCTGCCAGGCCGGCTCATAGGTGAGGTGGATGGCCTTGCTGGGGATGACACAGAGGAGCAGGGAGAGTAGAGGAGGAAGCCCAGGCTGGGCCAAGGGAAAAAGACAGACACACAGACACAGACACACACAGACACACAGAGATAGACAAGAAGGAAGAGGAGATATCAATTTCTGGTTAAAAGCTCAGGTCAAAAAGGGACACAGGGGGGCTGGGAAGGTGGCTCAGTGGTAGAGTGCTTGACTTGCATGCCTGAGGCCCTGGGTTCGATTCCTTAGCACCACATAAGCAGAAAAAGCCGGAAGTGGGGCTGACACTCAAGTGGTAGAGCGCTAGCCTTGAGCTGAAGAGCTGAGGGACAGCACCCAGGCCCAGAGTTCAGGCCCCACGACCGACCAAAAAAAAAAAAAAAAAAAAGGGACACAGGGAGGAGGAGAAGGGCTTTGCTTATGTTTCCTGCAGAGATGGAGGAGTGCACTAAGCTTGGGGGGCCTGGCTTGAGAACCCCTAAAAGCTGAATTCCTCCCAGTATTTCTCTCCAGTGTCTCTCCCAATGCAGCCCCAGCCGGCTCTGGCCTTGGGTCTTGGTAGTTCTTCCTGTGGCATAAGGGGTTCTAATGGATGGCCTTACTTTCCCACTTCAAGGCCAGGGGCAACAGAGATCGCCGAGATCAAGGGGTGGTCCTAGGCCTCAAAGCTATAGCCACACAGGACCCAGGGGGCCTCACAGTCTACACCAAGCCTTTTAAGGCTCAGGCAATGTGTGTCTTCCTGGAGGACCTAAGGAAAGATCCTCTGGGTTCAAAACCAGACTCCCATTTAGAGACCACAGGCCACTGCATGGAGTCAACAAGCAGTATCAGACCGCTCATGTTACAGGAGGCTAAGGAGATGGAACTTCCCAATCTTCATAGCTCAGAGAATATGGAGGCCCAGAGAGGTGGCAAGGCAGGCTTGGGGCCACACAGCGGGGGAGGAGGGGGGCGCGCGGCGGGGGTTAGGCTGGCTCTCACTGGCTTCTGATCTAGCTGGCAGCAGAAGCCCTTTCTCCATCCGGTGCCCATCGCCGGCCTGCCATCTCACCTCTTTGCCCTCCTTGTCTGGGGTGAGGGTACGCCCTGCAGCGGGGCACACAACGGGGCAGAGGGCATTGCTGGTGCTCTTATGGCGTGAGTGGCCCTTTCGGGGCCCGGTCTTGGTAGGGCTCAGCAGTTGGGGGTGGAGTTCACGGTTGGGAGAGGCTGGCGTGGACGTGATGACCAGGGTCTTCAAGGCCGTCACCTCTGCCTGTAGCATGTCAATCTGGCAGGGATGGGAGGGAAGTCAACGTTAACTTAATGCCAGCCCATCCCCAGGGGCAGCTGGTACCAAACCCTTCCCACCACAAAGCTTAAGGTGGGGACCAACACGCCCCATTTTACAGATAGGAAAACTGAGGCCATATTCTGTGAGGTGGTTAGGACCAAGTGTCTAGAAGCTCCTGGGCTCTCCATGAGTGAGGAACAGCCCTGGCCTCCTGGGGGGGGGAGGGCGAGAGGAGAGTCAAACAGCCTGAGAGAGAGGAAGCTACTGGAAGAAGGTTCTGCTTTGTAAGGGGTTTGGGAGGAGAGAGAGGAAATGACACACTGTGTCCTCCAATTCCCTGGAAGGCTCAGGAAAGTCTCTGTGTTACAAGAGAAACACGGAGTTGGGGTATGGGCTATGAGATCTCAGACCCCTGGCCTGCCCTCCCGGGACCCGTGGTGGCCAATGACAGCTGAGCCGGGGCCAGGCCAGAGCCCTGTGGTCCAGGCAGACAAAGAGCGGTTCTCACCTTGCCCCAGGCCTCCTTGAGCTGTTTTTCTGACGTAGCCTGCTTCATGTTGGCCTCCCGAACCATCTTATGGGCTTCCTGGAAGAGGGCAGCCTCTGCATCAGCAGTTCAGGAGTCACTGGACACCTGGGCCACCCCTTCCCAGGCTCCCCTGCCCGCCTGCCCACCCGTGTACCTCGAACAGGCTGGCTGTCAGTTCCTCCAGCTCCCGCTCCAGCTGTTCACGCACCTTGTACAGTCGCTCACATTCCTCATCCTTCAGCTTCAGCTCCTGTGCCCGGGCAGAGGCTGTCAGCCCTGGAAGACCCTAGCCAGGCTCTAGGGTGGCGGGGAGGGAGGAGATTGGCCCCCCCAACCAGGCTCTGCCCCACCCACAAGCATCTGGTAGGTGGCTCTGGACACCAGACTACTTCCTTGGTGCCTCAATACTTTGAACTATTTAGTTCATGGCACAAGCCCATCAGAGCTTGGAGCAAGGTTGTTGTTGTTTTCTTTTGCCTATACTAGGTTTTGAACTCAGGGCCTAGGTGCTGAGCTTTTTTTGCTCAATGCTAGTGCCCTACCACTTGAGCCATGCCTCTACTTCCAGAGTTTTTGGGTGGTTCATTGGAGGTAAGAGTCTCAGCCGGACGTCCAGTGGCTCACGCCTGTCATTCTAGCTACTCAGGAGGCTGAGATCTGAGGATCATGGTTCAAAGCCAGCTCAGGCAGGAAAGTCCATGAGACTCTTATCTCCAATAAACCACTCAGAAAACTGGAAGTGGCACTGTGGCTCAAGTGGTAGAGCACTTGCCTTGAGCTGAAGAGCTGAGGGACAGCGCCCAGGCCCAGAGTTCAAGCCCCACGACCGACCAAAAAAAAGAGTCTCACAAACTTTCTTGCCCGGGCTGGCTTCCAATCACAATCCTCAGACCCCAGCCTCCTTGGGTAGCTAAGATTAACAGGCATGAGCTAGCCAGGGTGAATTTGGAGCAAGTTTTTGGATAGGCTCAGGATACAGCTCAATAGTTAAAGCAGACGTTCAGCAAGTCAAAGAGGTCCTGGGTTCGATCCCCAGCACCAGAAAGAAGACATAAGAACTAGGCATGTCATTTCCGGTTGCACAGCACAGACCCAGTGTACAGTAGGCCTGGGCAAGTTTGCATAGACTCATGACCCCTTCCCTTGGCCACCTCCATGGCTCCTCTTCACTGAGCACCCCACACACTGCCCTGGGCCCCCACCTTCTGGGCTTTGTGCAGCTCCTCCTTCAGGAACTCTGAGCCCTTCTCTCGGATCTCCATGGAGCTGCTGCGCAGGCGTGACACGTCCAGGTGGGCAGCTGTGGGACCCTCCTCGCCTTGGGCCTTCTCCCCTGCAGAGGTCTCCACCAGGGCTCCTGGGGATTCCCTGTGGCTCTTGCAGGGACCCACGCTCTTCCAGGAAGCTGGGCCAGTGAGGGGTGGCGGGAGCCCCTCTTCTGGCTGAGGTGAGCTGCGAGGAATCAAGCAAACCATGGCATCAGCAGACACAAAGGTTGGAGTCTTGAGTTCTGCACAACTGAGCAGGAACCAACCCAGGGCAATGTGCATCTGCCATGTGGGCCTCAGTTTGGCCATCTGTGAAATGGGATCACTGCAAGCTACAGCTAAGAGCTAGGACAGGGCTCAGACACCTCTGCCAACCCCACTGCCAGCCTAGGACCTACGACTGCCGGTGGCACTCAGTGAGTGTTAAGCACATGGCCAGTGTTCAGTGTGCACTTATTAAACACGCAGGTGACTGTCAATGCAGCAGTGTTGGATGTGTGTGCTGGTACTGGGGCTTGAACTCAGGGCCTGGTAACTAACCAACAGATTTTTCCAGTCAAGGCTGGTGCTCTACCACTTGAGCCATACGTGTACTCCAGCTTTTCTTTTTTTAGCTGATCCTGGGGCTTGAGCTCTGTTCTTTTGTGCTCAAGACTAGTGCTCTACCACTTGAACCACAGCTCCACTTCTGGTTTTTTGTGGTTAATTGAAGAGTCTCATAGACCTTCCTTCTCAGGCTAGCTTTAAACCTTTGAACCGTAGTCCTCAGATCTCAGTCTCCTTAGTAGCTAGGATTACAGGTGTGAGCCATCTGTGCCCAGCCACTCTGGCTAATTGGGGATAACAATCTCATGGAGGCCAGGTGCCAGTGGCTCATGCCTGTAATCCTAGCTACTCAGAAGACTGAGATCTGAGGATCTTGGTTCAAAGCCAGCCTGGGCAGGAAAGTCCGTGAGCCTCTTCAATTAACCACCAGAAAACCAGAAGTGGTGCTGCAGCTCAAGTGATAGAGCGCTCTCCTTGAGCTGAAATACTCAGGGACAGTGTCCAGGCCCAGAGTTCAAGCCCCACAACCAACAACAACAACAGAGAATCTCCTGTACTTTTCTGCTTAAGGTTGGCTTCGAACCTTAATCCTCAAAGATCTCAGGCTCCTTATTTGCTACGCTTGCAGGAATGAGCTACCAGCACTCGACTCAATGGGGCCTCAGTAATTGTCACTGCGCCAATGCAGAAACCTGGGCACACAGGAGGCACTTAATGGGAGCAGCCTCATTGATACAATGAATATAAACTTGTTGGCATAGTTAACCTGACAGCCAACAGGACAAAGTCAATGTGGATGCAACCCTTTCAGGGAGGGCCAGAGAGGAAGCATGAGGCCTGGGCAGCCAGGGAGATTCTGCAAATAGCCCAGGCAAGGAAGACCCACTTCCTGACACCCCCTCTCCCAGACTTCATCGGGGGAAATTGCAATGACTTTGGGCAAACAGCCCCTTCTCTCCCTCCACCTCAGGATCCTCTCTCCTTTGAGATGAAAGACTCGGGAGGCCATGCGGGAGACCTTTGTCCTCCATCTTTCCAAGTACACACCCCCCCAACTCGAAAAGAGACCCTGGAAGAGGGAAGAGAGAGGAGAGCTCAGCCAGTGGTGATTTGTGCCAAGACAGCACCTCTAGATTTGCTTGCTCAGCAAAAGTCAGGGGCTCCTGAGCCAGCAGCTTCTGAGCAGCAGGGGCTGGGCCGGCTGATAGCAGGGGGGAGGAGGGAGGAGGGGCTCCCAGACACCCGCACAGGAGGAGCACAAGGCCAAGGAGATGTAGAACAGCTGAGGAGGGGGGAGGGGGCTGAGAGCCATCTCCTCTCTTCTCCTTGTCCTCAGCACCACAGGAAGGTCACGAGGCAGCCAAGCCTCTGTGCCTCAGTTTCCCTCTGAGTTACACAAAGAGACTAATGCCCAAGAGACCCCAGCAATGAGTCCATGGGTCAGTCCTTCATATGACCTTGCCCCACTGCCCAGCTCTTGCCCTCTCCCCTAGAACTGGCCTAGCGTGTCATCTGGAAGCTTCCCAGCTTGGGCCCAGCTCTACCTTAGATGAATTAGGTGAGAACAGAAAGCTATCACTCTGCCAGCACTGCGCAGGCGGCAAGGGATCTCTTCCAATACCTTGGTTGGAAGGAGGGGTCTTATTGGCACACGGTCCCTAAGGCAACGGTGGCCCCATAGGCCACCATTCTATAAATGAGGGACAGGAACTTGGCGCAGGGAGGGGCCATGCCTGGGGTCACACAGCTGGCCAGGGCAGTGCTGAGACTAGTGGCCACATCTAGGCTTCTCGCCAAGTGGCCCAGCGGTGGGGTGAGTTCTGGACTCAGTGCATCTGTCTCAGGATGAAGGACTGCTGGGCCCAGGGGCCTCCAGAGGCTCCTCCTTGGCTGTAGCAGGGAAATTTGACCCAATTATGGCCCGAATTGGCTCCTCAGACTCTGCTCAGGTCCAGAAACCACTTTTCCAGAAGGGGGGCTTGTGGGGGGGGGGAAGGGAGGGAAGAAGTAGCTAAGAATACGGTGAACTCCTGGGAATGAAATCCTCGCAACCCGTGTTCACCCTGTAGTGTGGGCTGGAAACCTGCAGGAGGCGCTGTAAACATCAAGTAAGATCAATAGACCTGGTGCCGGCAGAAGAAATGCAATGATAATCATGTCCAGTAGAGGAAGCCTGGGTCCTGCCCACCCTGGGTCCTGAACGTGAAACCTGGGACCTGGGGAGCCAGCCCCATTTCTGCATGTGGAAGAGGATGGCCATGGGCATCAGTGCCCCCTGTCCAGCTGCTCACTTCTGGCCCAGTCCAGAGTCTGGGTGATCCACACAGGACAACGTAGGACATGGGGAGGACCCCAGGCCTCAGACACCAGCCCGTGTGTCTTTCCCAAGGCAAGAATCCCTTGATTGCTCTTAAGAGAACAAGACTGTAAAGTGTCCCCTTCCAGCACCTGAGGGGCCAAGCTTTGTCTACCTGAGACCTGGGCCTCTGGGTACAGTGGACAACACTGAAGGTCTGGGACACAGCCCAGGAGGCCTGAAACCAGGTCTCCAGGACACCACACTCGACTCCATGGCAATACCCCACGTTCACATCCTAATGGCAGAAAGTACACTGGCGTAACAGGTCTCTGTAGTCACCAACTTCCCCTCTTTCCTGGGCCAGGGGTGGCAGGAGCAAGAGGGAAAGAAGGGCTCAGCCAGTGCATGGAGGGAAGCCCAGGCACAGACCCTCCTCCCCTCCCACTTCCGGGCTTGGAAGCCAACTCCTGTGACTCACAAAGTTCAGAGGAAGGAGGCGCGGACTGGGGCCCTCAGGCCCAGCCAGAGTCTCCCATCTTCCATGCACAGCACCCTTCCAGACCTGAGCCTCAAAACCTGGGCGTGAGCACCCAGACACAGGGTAGATCCAGCCCACCGCTGAGGTTCTTCTGCCCAGCCTCCCAGCCCCTCCTTGGCCCTGTTCCCTACAGGAATGGTGTCCTGTATATGGAATAAACTGCAGAGGCTCCTGGGTTCTGCTTAGGAGTGAGAGATTCTAGAGTGATGGTCAGAGGCAGGTGTGGTGACTCACACCTGTAATCCTAGCCACTCATGAGACACAGGTTTGGAGAATCACAGTTTAAAGCCAGCAGGAGCAGAAAAGTCCATAAGACTTCATCTCCAAAAGAACCAGCAAAAAGCTGGAGTGGAAGTGTGGTTCCAGTGGGAAGACTAGCTAAGCAAGCAAAAAAATCCTGAGTTCAAGTCCTGATTTAAAAAAAAAAAATCAAAGCTGGGTGCTGGTGGCTCACAACCTGTAATTCTAGCTACTTAACAGGTTGATGTCTGAGGATCACGGTTCACAGCCATCCCAGGCTGGAAAGTTCCCGAGACTCTTCCAATTAACCACATTATTTTAAAAAAAAAAGGTTGGAAGTAGCTAGGTACCCATGGCTCATGCCTGTAATCCTAGCTACTCAATGTGATGTGAGGAACAAGGTTTGAAGCCAGCACCAGGAGGAAAGTCTAGGAGACTCATCTCCAATTAACCACCAAAGAGCATGAAGTGGAGCTGCAGCTCAGGAGATAGAGCACTAGCCTTGAGCACTGAAGCTCGGGGGCAGCACGCAGGCCCTGAATTCAAGCTCCAGGACTGGTATAAACAAACAAGTCTAGGCAGGTAGAGGTGGCCAGTGCCCCCCTTCTGGAACCAGCTTCTGCAGCCAGAGCCCACTCAGCTCATACAGGAAAGGCTCCTCGAGGCCACTTCCCTAGGAAATGCTATGCGGGGGGGGGGAGGGGGGCAGTGGAGCCGCTGAAGTCCTCAGCCCACCAGGCCTGCCCTGTGAAGCCCATGTCCTCTCCCCCAAACCAGCAAATTGAGCAGCACTTTTCTGCCTGTAGTAATTCTGCCAGGGCCTCCAGAGCCCAGCCAGCAGTCATCACGAAGACCCTGTGAGGCCCACTGCGGTTCCAGGCCGGCCCAGCCTGCCACAGGTGTCTGTACCCTCTGGTGAATGCGCAGGTGGTCCCTCTGTGTGTAGCTCATATGCACCACGTTGGTGAAATACGCAGGGGAGGGGCAGGGAGAGCAGCCTGCGAGCCAGGGAAAGCACAGGGCAAAAGGTCCATCAGAAGCACCAACCCTCTGCCCAGAAGCCCTACCCAGGGCCTAGCTCCCAGTAGGTAGCGCCAAGGCCTAGGGGCCCAGTTTCAGGTTCATCCTCACAGGTTCCCAGTATGGTCCACAAAGGATTAAGGCTGATGCCTACATGACAGGTATCTAGGGTCCCGGGGTGGGGGTGGGGGTTCAGGAAGGCTCTTGTGTTCAGGCTTCCTAACCAGAAAGCTCAATCCAGATAAAGGACCAAGTCTGCAGGCTCAAAGCCACAAGCACACAGGATTTCTAGTCTCTAGGTCAAGTGTATGGCTGCCTACTCTTCTGTCTCCACAGTCTCATTATATGGGGACAGCCTAGTTTTAATGACCAGGCATGGAAGGACCAGAGAGGGTTGGTAACTTGGCAAAACACACAGTAAGGGAGTGGCAGATGGGGAAATGAACCCAGAACGTGTCATGGGACTTTTCCCTAAGAAGAAGGGTGGTTTCAGAGAAAGCAGGATGCAGCTGGGATGTGTGAAACAGTGCACCCCAAAGCG